TAATTGGGCTTAGGACACTGCCCTGAGGAACTCCTGCAGAGATGCCCTGGAGCTGAGACGATTGACTTCCAACAACCACGACCATCTGTCTGTGTGCCAGGTATGACTCCAACCATCAGAGTTTATCCTCTGATACCCACTGATTCCAGCTTTGCTCAGGTTCCTTTTGTTTTTTTTCAACAAAGTCTGTAATGTGGTCAGGAGCTGATTGGCCTTGGCGGAACCCAACTGGGTATCATTGAGCAAGTTATTGCTGAGCAGGTGCTGCTTGATAGCACTATTAAAGACACCTTTCATCAATTTACTGATGATTGAGAGTAGACTGACAGAGCGGTAATTGGCCAGGTTGCATTTGCACTGGAACAGCTTGGCTAGCTGAGCGGAAAGGTCTGGAGCACAAGTCTTCAGCACTATTGCCGGACTGTTGTCAGGGCCTGTAGCTTTTGCAATACTTAGCGCCTCCAACCATTTTTCGATATCACGTGGAATGAATCAAATTGGCTGAAGATTGCCACCTCTAATACTGGGGACCACTGAAGAAGGCCAAGAGGGATCACCCACAAGGCACTTCTACTGAAGATTGCTGCGAAAGCTTCAGCCTTATCTTTTGCACTGCTGTGCCATTCCATCATTAAGGATGGGGATTTTTGTGCAGCCTCCTTCTCCAGTGAGTTGTTTAATTGTCCACCACCAATCATGACTGAATGTGGCAGGACTGCAGAGCTTATATTTGATCTTTTGGTTGTGGGATTGCTTAGTTATATCACTTGCTGCTTATGCTGTTTGGCATGCAAGTAGTCCTATTTAGTGGTTTCACCAGGTTGATACCTCACCGTTAGGTACAGTGCTACTCCTGGCATGCCCTCTTGCACTCTCCATCGAACCAACATTGAATGTCGAGGCAGAGTGGGAGGCAGAAAAGGAAGAAAATCCCGCACTCTAGATCCTACTTCCACATGGAACAGCCTGCTCCATATGTTCAAAGACCTGCAGGTCAAGAATTGGCCTGTTCTGTCGTATGAAGTCCCATGGCAGAAAATCATGATCCTGAGACGTCATCCTCAAATTGAAAACAGCGAATAATCATATACTTAACGTTTGATCATATGTTCGCTACACCTTTAGAATTGTGAACCAGCAGCATAACCAATGTTGTTCTAAATAAACACAGCTCTTAAAACTGCAAACTTCTTTTAAATCAGTAATGGCTATAATTTTAAATGGTAGGAGGGGAAGGGACTGAAAATGCAACGACATTGTGCAAGATTACCTCCACCTCACAAACAATGCAGCAGCTCACCGTTTTGTGACGGTATACTCCTGTGAAGCAGTCGGCCAAAATAACTGTAGAATTTGCAAACATCATTGCCATATTAACAAAATTAGGACAAATGCTGAGAATGAGCTTTTCTATACAAATTAGAACACATCAATTTGTTATAGAGTTGAAGAAAGCAAAACCAAGATTAAAGTGTTCAATTTTAAGAGTCTGTTGTGTGCTGAGAAGCCAACTCTGATGCCCTCTACCCAGACAGTAATGGTGACCGCTCAGAACCTTGAAGTACTTACAGACATATTGAACTTTTAATTCCAGTATTTTCTTTAAAAAGGGTTACTACATCCAAAAGCTAATGGCAAATGTAAATTCAGTGACTGTCTCACATTATTCTGAGTGGGTCATGGAATGTCATACTGTACAAGAGTGGAGGAAACTTCAAACAAAAATGAGGAAGGAGGAAGAGATAATGAGAAACTGACTACCCAGTCCCACTGAGCAGGAAGCGATCTCCTGCAGATATGATTGTGTTTCACCCTTCGAGGAATAGACGGTCATAGAGGTCTACAGCACAGAAAAAGGCCTGTTGAAATATTCTTCCCATTTTACAACAAATTGGCCCATAACCTTGAATGCTTTAGCATTACAAGTGCACATGTAAATATTTCTTCCACCCTCAAGGCAATGAGTTCTAGATTTGCATCATCCTCGAGGTGAAAAAGGCTTTTCCTCACATCACCTCTCAATTTCTTCCCTTCACCTTAAATCTATGCCTCCATCACTGATCTCTCCACCAAGTGGTTTTTTTCCCTGTCTACCCTATCTATGTCTCTTAATTTTATATATCTCAATCATGTCCTCTTTCAATCTCCTCTGTTCTAAGGAAAACAAACCCAGTCTACTCAATCTCTCCTCATAATTAAAATTCTCCAGCCCATGCAACATCCTGGCAAATTTCTTTTACACCTTCTCCATTGTTATCACATTCCTCCTACGGTATGAATTCCAGAACTGCATGCAATGCTTCAGCTGTGGCCAACCCAACTTTTTACACAGTTCCAGCATAGCTTCCCTGCTCTCAAGCTCTATGTCTCAACTAATAAAGGCAACTACACTATATGCTTTCATAGCCACATTATCTACCTGTCCTGTGCCTTAAGGGACCTCTGATCCTTGGTGTTTCCCAGGGTCCTACTGTTCATGAATTTCCTTGCCTTGTTTATCCTGCCCAGGTTCATCACCTCACATCACCTCAATAGATTGCATTCCATTTGTCAATTATCAGCCCATCTGACCACCACGTTTATATCCTTTTATATTCCAATCCTTCTCATTATTTACCACTCCACCAATTTTGTATCATCTGTAAACTTACTGATCAACACTCCCACATTCAAACCTAAAACGATTCATTCATATAGACCACAAACAGCAAGGGCTCCAACACTGACCCACTGGATCCAGAATTCCAGTCGGAACACCACCCCTCAACCATCACCATCTGCTTCCTGCCACTCAGCCAATTGTGGATTCAATTTACCAAATTTCCTCGGATCCCAAGAGCACTTACATTTGCTTTTGATCTCCCATGTGGAACCCTATCAAAAGGCTTACTGAAGTCCAAGTAGACTACTTCAAAAGCATTTTTCTCATTTGCACACCTAGTCACCTCCTTGTCAAATTCAGTCAAGGTGGTCAGACTTGACCTCCTCTTAACAAAGCCATGCTGACTGTTCTTGATCAATCCCTGCCTCTCTCCAAATGCAGATTAATTCTGTCCCTCAGAATTGCTTCAAATAGTTTCCCCACCTGCAAGATTAGCCTGACTCAGACTGTATTTTCCTGCTTTGTCCCTTGCTCCTTTATTGGTATAACATTGGCTGTCTTCCAGCACTTTTCCAATGGCCAGAGAGGAATTGAAAATTCTTGCAAGCACACCTGCTATATCTTCCTTTGCCTCACTTAACAACCTGTGATACAATATACAAAACGACTATACAAAAATGGGGTTACTGCTAGTCTGCATGTGCTAGCAACCTGATGTGCAAATGTGATCTAACATAGAGTGAAAGTCACAGCTTGGGAACAGCCATTTAATACTGCTGTGCTGCACATAAAGAAGTTGAAAAGACCATCTCTTGCTCTGAGCAATGCCAACCAGCCATCATGGAAAGGAATCATGACGGAAGATTTTCAGTCAAACTGCAAATAAACTAATCATGGAATTGTTTCAGAGATAGTAGGAACTGCAGATGCTGGAGAATCTGAGATAACAAGGTGTAGAGCTGGATGAACACAGCAGGCCAAGAAGCATCAGAGGAGCAGGGAGGCTGACATTTTGGGCCTAAGAGTCTAGACCTTGTTATCTCTACACCTTTGTATCTCTAATCATGAAATTGGCTGTTAACTATCAATCTTAACACTTCTGGTGCTTTCCAATTTCATGATTGCTTCGGAGACTGATCCATATATATTTGTAATTTTTTTTTGGATTTGCAACTAATCCCTAATCTGTGCTATACATGTTGCTTCTTATTTCACAGCATTTACATTGTCTTTCTAAACTAATAAACTCACTCTTAAATCAAGAAAGCCCAATTAAACTGGCTCCTTTTAAAACAAAAATATATTTGGTCTGGGAGAAAGGGATCCACAAGGGCACATCGTTGTGAATAGCTGAGGAGGCAAATGAATAAAGAAAGGGAGCCAGTTGATTCATCTTCATCCGGGAGCTTAATGATTTGCAGTATCCCATTTGGAACTGGGGATTGGTCAACACTGCCAATCAAGGAAGTTGTTAGTCATTTGAATAAGAGGCTACTCACTGCATTTGTTTTGTTTATCTTTGAAGCTTATCTTTGTAAAACGTAAGAGTGAATGGCAGTAGAATTTTTACATCACACATAACTGTAATGACGTTTCTGGTTCAAGCAAGGCTGAAACCAAAGGCTGTACATATGATAATTATAAATGAATTCAAGAATTTTTTTTGCAAGGAAATAGAGAGAATGCAGAACTCACCACCAAATTGAATGGTGGAGGATCAGATGCATTTTAGCAAAAAAAAATGGATAACTAACACGTTAGAAGAGGGAAAAGAAAGATATGATCATGCCATGAGATTTTTTTTCTTTATTCATTCATGGGATGAGGGTGTCACTGTCCAGGCAGCATTTATTGTCCATCCCTAAAGTCAACCACATTGCTGTGGGTCTGGAGTCACATGTAGGCCAGACCAGGTAAGGACGGCAGTTTCCTTCCCTAAAAGGACGTTAATGAACCAGATGGGTTTTTCCTGACAATCGACAATGGATTCATGGTCATCATCAGATTGTTAATTCGAGATATTTATTGAATTTAAATTCCACTATCTGCCATTGCGGGATTCGAACCCGGGTCCCCAGAACATTATCTGGTTCTCTGGATTAACAGTCCAGCGATAATACCACTACGCCATTGCTTCCCCTTGCGCAAGGTTGAGGGTGGTTCGATTGGAGCATAAACACTGGCGTTGATCTATTGGATCAAATAGCCTGTTTCTGTACTGAAGTCCTACCTAACCAAATCTAGTAGTCTAAAGTCCTGAGCTTGAGGACCCTTGATGATGACGAATGTTCCAAAACTATTGAATCAGTTGTCGCTTTGAAAACTTTAGTTCTCAGTATTCAAACTGATATCAGGGAATTCGTAGAAAAAAAAATCATGCCGCAATTTTGGTCCCTACCTTTGACCTATTGGAACAAGCTGCAACGCCAACATCAGGAATCCAGGTTGTATTCTGAATAGCACCAGATCCTGTCACTACACTCTGTAGCACACTACCATCCTGGGTTAGTAACAAGAAAAAAGTAAATGAGAAAGGGTCACTATATTATTGCTGGTAAGACAACAGTTTGTAGCTATATTTACTTCTAAGCAGCAAAGTTAGTTGTGTAAATGTTAAATTTAGGAATCAGAGATCACTGTTTACACCCCACTCTGATTTATCTTCATGCACTGAAGAGTCTCGGGAAGGCCTGAATAGAGATAATGAGGAGAATCCTTGGGGAAACCTTTGAAGGTGCACATAACTACTGATCAGGTGTACAAATATGGAGCCTGATTTAATGGGTAAAGGAGTCTCCTGCTTGTCTTCAAAAGAGCCATCACCAGAAAAAGGGTAACGCACCTCAGTTTGGACAGCTACCTTGGAGCCATTCAACACTGAGGAGTGCTTTAGCAGCTCCAATGGGAATTGTGACCAAAAATGGGACTGCAACCTATCCCAGAAACCAAAGAGCTGGGAGCTAGATGCAAAGTCAGTCTTTTCGAACTTTGCAGGGCCAAGCCTAGGACGAAGGGACAGGTGCTAAGATCAGGTTGAGGGGGTGCTCAGAAAAGGAACCTGTGAAGGAGGTATCTTTAATTCACCCCAACACACCCCATCCTCAACTCCACCACTCTTGCCTGCCAAAGTGCACCAACCTGCTGGTTTCCAGCACTCCTCCTCCCAGTTAAACAACTTGTGGTGTGAGCGGGGAGTGGCTTTGAAAAGGCATCAGTTGGCCACGAAAGCTTCAACTGTGACAAGGGTAGCTATGGCCTCACCCATTGTATGTAAAATTGTGGTAAGGTTGGGCAGGTAGACAGTGAGGGAAAAAAAAAATCACCCATGGAATTTTATGGCAATTTGTCCATCGCTGGCATGCTTGCCTACGGGGATCATAAAACTTTTAGTGAATCTTCTAAAAATAAAATGAAGAGAAGGAAGACATACTAGTTTTTTTTTTATTTAGCATTTTCAGCAAACGGAAAACCATAAAAACTATACAATACGTAAATCTAAAAAATGATGTGGGAAATTCAAGAAAAAACTCGGCTTTTTGGTAAATTTCCTAATTTAGTTAGTTTTTGATAAACTAACACTTTAGATTAGAAACAACACAAATCATATTAATCTAATTTCTTACCCGCAGTGACCAAATGTTCATTAGTCCACCAAGTCCTCCAGACACTAAGACCAGTCCGTCAGGGCTAAAAGTTACAGTGCGCACTGGAGTGATGTGCCCCTTCAGTTGATAGATGCATGTTGCCTCCCCAACTTTCTTACATCCACTCTTCAAATTCCATTACAATAAAATTAAAAATACAAACATTAAGTCTTAAATAATTATTCTTCAAAATATATTAGAACTGAAGACAAGGATTGTTCATATATAGAAAGTTTATAAAGACATAATTATCCTTTGTCAATTATCTAAAATCAGCAATTGATGCATAAGCATTATTTACAGGTCTATTAAGACACATTCCACAGAATTAAAAACAAACAGCTCAATTATAATACAAAGTAAAAAAAAAAACTTCCACAGCTGTGCACTTAAAAAAGCTGAAAATAATCAGGCAAGTCAATTTTTTTTGTGGATGGTAAATCATTTAACCAGTTCACTATAATCTTTGAAGGAGGATAGAGGGGAGCCTGTAGCCATACTGCACTTGGATTCTCAGAAGGCAGTTAATAGGGTGCCAAATGTAAGGTTTATTGCAGAAAATAAAAGCTCTTGGTACAAGAGCAAGTATATTGGCATGGATAGAAGATTGGCCAGTTGGCAGAAACTGCGTATGCTTAAAAAAGTCCATGTCTAAACGGCAGGATGTGACCATTAAGAGTTTTGCAGGAGTCTATTCTGGGGCCTTAACAAACATTTTACATCAATTACTTAGATGAAGGGAACAAAACCACGGTAGCTAAATTTTTTGATGACACAAAGGCAGGTAGGAAAGCATGCTGTGAAGATGACAGAAGGATATAGATAGGTTGAACGAGTGGAAAAAAACTGACAGATAAAGTATATTTGGGAGTAATAATAGAGGTGGCATGGTGGCTCAGTGGTTAGCACTGTTGCCTCACAGCGCCAGGACTTGGTTTTATTCCACCCGTGGGCGACTGTTGTGTGGAGTTTGCATGTGCTCCCTGTGTCTGCATGGGTTTCCTCCAGGTGCTCCGGTATCCTCCCACAGTCCAAAGATGTGCAAATTAGGTGGATTGGTCATGCTAAATTGTCCGTAGTGTTCAGGGATATGCAGCGTAAGTGGATTAGCTATGGGAAATGTGGAGTCGGGGGTGGGTGTGTGTGGGATGTTCTTTGGATGGTTGGTGTGGGCCCAATGACCTGATCTCCATGTTGTAAGCATTCTATGTTTGTATACAGGTTCCATTCAGCGTATGAACTATCACTAACATGAGGCAGAGAATATACCTGTGTCTTCATAAGGAGATTGTGTCAGAGTCCGACTGATCTGCCACTCAGAGGCTGTTTGCCATTGAACTGGGTGGAGTTCAAGGGATACGGTGGGAACGGGGGTGGGTCTGAATGGGATGGTCTCCAGAGGGTTGATGTGGACTTGATGGGCCAAAGGCCGGTTTCCACTCTGTAGGGATTCTATGATTCTATAATATGTGGGAAAATGAGAACTTCACCTGGTAGAAAGAATGAAATAGCAGGTCATCACTTATATGGCGAACAATTTTGGAAAGAGATTTAAGTATTCTGTTGCCCAAGTCACAAAGAATTAGAATGCACGTACAGCGTTTAATCCTGAAGGATGTGGGATTCTTTCCATTATGATCAACAGAATTGAACCTAAAAGTAAGATGTTATACTTCAATTTTACAGGATGTTGGTGAGACCAAATCTGGAATACTACGCAGTTTTGGTCTCTTTATTTAAAGGAAGGATTACTGTTTTGAAAGCTATACTGAAGAGGTTTACTAGGTGGACACGTGGAATCACGTGGTTGTCTTATGAGGATATGCTTATTTACACTGTGGTTTAGAAGAGTGAGGCGTGATGAGATTGAAATGTGTATGATGCTGACTGGTCTTGACAGGGTGGACATGGAAAGAATATTTCTTTTTGTAGGGGCACCATTTTAAAATTAGGGGTCAAGTTTTCAAACTGAAAGACAGCAAAGGAACAGTCCCTTCAGTATGGTGATACCTGCATCAACACATGATACCTTTCCAAACTAAAACTCTTTTGCTTCTATGTGGTCCACATTCATCTATTTCTTGCCTATTCAACTCTTAAATGTTGCTATTGTATCCACCTCCACCACCTTTTGTGGCAGTGTATTCCAGGCATTTAACATCATCTATATAAAACACGTGCTTTTTACCTCTCCTTCAAACTTAGCCCATTTTACCTTAAAAATATGTTCACTAGCAAGTGACATTGCCACCCTGAAAAAAAACGTCGACTATCTGTTCTATCAGTGCCTCTCATAATTTTGTAAACTCCAATCAGCTTTCTCCTCATCCTTCAACGTTCAAGTGAAAACAAACCAAGTTTGTCCAATCTTTCCTCACAGCTAATACCTTTCACAACTGGTGACAACGCGGTAAACCATTTCTGTAACCACCTCCAAAGCCTCTATATTCTTTTGGTAGTGCGGTGGCCAGAAACGTACACAATATTCCAAGGGTGTGCTAACTGAAGTTCTATACAGCTGCAACATGACTTGCTGATTTTTACACTTAATGCCCTGACAATAAAGGCAGGCATACCATATGCCATATACTTATCGCTTGTGTTGCTACTTTCAGGCAACTGTGAAACATTGAAGATAAGAGCAGGAGGAGGCCATTCTGCCCTTCAAACTTGCTCTGCCATTCATCACGATCATGGCTGATCGTCCAACTTAATAACTCAATCCTGCTTTCTCCCCATAACCTTTGATCCCATTCACCTCAAGTGCTACGTCTAGCCGCCTCCTGTATACATTCAAAGTTTTGGCAACAACTACTTTCTATGGTAACGAATTCCACAGGCTCACCACTCTTCAGGTGAAGAAATGTCTCATCTCTGTCCTAAATGGTCTACCCCAAATCCTCATACTGTGACCCCTGGTTCTGGATGCAGCCACCATTGGAACATCCTCCCTGCGTCTACCTGTCCAGTCCTGATAGAATTTCCTAAGTCTCTCTGAGATCCCCTCTCATTCGTCTGAACTCCAGCGAAAACAGTCCTAACCTAGTCAATCTCTTCTCATTCTCAATCTCTCCCCGGAATCAGTCTAGTAAACCTTTGCTTCACTCCCTCAAGAGCAAGAGCATCCTTCCTCATAAAAGGAGACCAAAACTACATACAATGTTCAAGTTGTGGCCTCACCAAGGCCCTGTACAGCTGTAACAACACATCCTTGCTCCAGTACGTGAAACCCCTCGTAATGAAGGCCAACATACGATTTGCCTTCTTTACTGCCTGCTGCACCTGCATGCTTACCTTCAGTGACTGGTGTACAAGAACACCCAGGTCCTGCTGCACACACCCCTCTCCTAATTTACAGCCATTCAGGTAGTAATCTGCTTTTTTGTTTTTGCTTCCAAAGTGAATAACCTCGCGTTTATCCAAATTATACTGCATTTGCCATTGATTTGTCCATTCACCCAACCTGTCCAGATCATGCTGAAGGATCTCTGTATCCTTGTCACAGTTCACCCTCCCACTCAACTTGGTATCATCTGCCAACTTGGCGATGTTACATTTTGTTCCCTCATCCAAATCATTAATATACATTGCGAATAGTTGGGGTACCAGCACCAATACCTGTGGCATATCACTAGTTACTGCCTGCTAATTTGAAAAGGACCCACTCATTCCTCCTCTTTGTTTCCTCTCTGCCAAACAGTTTCCAATCCATTTCAATACACTTCCCCCAATCCCATGCACTTTCATCTTGCACAAAAATCTCTTACACGGGACTTTGCCAAATGCTTTCTGAAAGTCCAAATATACCACATGGACTGGCTCCCACTTGTCAACTCTACTCGTTACATCTTCATACAATTCCAATAAATTTGTCAAGCATGATTTCCCCTTCATAAATCCATGCTGACTCTGTCTGATCCTGCCACAGCTTTCTAAATGCTCTGCTATAAAGTCCTTGATAATGGAGTTGAGAATTTTCCCTACTGCCGATATTAGGCTTGCTGGTCTATAATTCCCTGTTTTCTCTTGACCTCGCTTTTTGAATATTGGAGTGGCATGTGCTACTGTCCAATCTGCAGGGGCTGTTCCAGAGTCTATAGAATCCTGGAAGATGACCACCAATGCATCCACTATTTCTAAAGCCACTTCCTTAATAGGTAATGTATTTTTAAGGTAAAAGGGATCAGTTTTAATCAATTCTTTGGTCCTTCTTTGCTGAATTCTAAACCGCTCCCAACCCTCAGACATATTTTTTTTCTTGGCCAATCTGTATGCTTCTTCCTTGGATCAGATACTATCTCTAATTTCCTTTGTAAGCCATGGATTGGCCCTTTTACCCATTTTGCTTTTGTACCAGAGAGGAATAAACAATAGTTGCAGTTCCGCCCATGCGTTCCCTGAATGTTTGCCATTGCCTATCCATTGTAATCCCTTGAAGTAACTCTCCCCAATCTGCCAAGGCCAATTCACACCTCATATCTTTGTAGTTTCCTTTGTTAAGATTCAGCACCCTAGTCTACAAATCAACTACTTTACTCTCCATCTTGATAAAAAAAATTGTACCGTGTTATGGTCGCTCATCCCCAAGTGGTCTCGCACAGCTAGACTGGCAATGATTCCCTTCTCATTATACAGTACCCAGTCTAAGATGGCCTGCTGTCTAGTTGGTTCCTCCACATACTGGTCAAGAGAACCATCCCGTAGAGACTCCAGGAATTCCTCCTCTGCAGCATTGTGGCTAATTTGATTTGCCCAATCTATGTGCAGATTAAAATCACCCATGATCACCAATATTCCCTCATCATATGCATTTCTAATTTCCAGTTTAATGTCATTCCCAACATTACCACTGCAGTTTGGGGATGTATATATGACACCCTCAAATTTTTTTTTCCCCTTGGTATCTCTCAACTCTACCCATGTAGACTCTACATTGTCAGAGTTAACATCCTTTCTCACTATTGTGTTAATTTCCTCTTTAACCAGTAATGCCACTCCATCACCTTTTTTCTTTTTGCCCATCCTTCCTAAATATTGAATATCCTGGGACATTCAGTTCCCAGCCCTGGTCACCCTGTAGCCATGTCTCCGTAATCCCAATTATATCATACCTGTTTACATTTATCTGCATGATTAGTTCACCCACTGTATTACAAATCCTTCATGCATTAATGCACAAAGCCTTTAACCTTATCTTTTTACACTGTTTGTCTCGTTTTTATTTTTCTCAATAGCCCTGTTTGAATTTTGTCTTGGGTTTCTCTGCCTCTCACTTTTCTTATTGTCTACCTTTTGTGTTTGTTCTTACTCCCTCCTTCTCTGACTCCTTACATAGGTTCCCATCCCCTAGCATATTAGTTTAAACCCTCCCGAACTGCTCTGGCAAACACTTCCCCAGGACATCAGTCCCAGTCCTGCCCTGATCTTGTTTGGCTAGATCCTTCTGCATGTGATGCTATTAAAGGTTCTGCCATTTACTGTATACTTCCCTCCTGCATTAGATCTTCCAAATTCATCACTGCACATTTGTCTGGATTAAACTCTGTCTGCCATTTCTGGGCCCGAGTCTCCAACCTATCTGCATCCTTTGGCAATCCTCATCACTATCCACAGCCGTTCCAATCTTTGTGTCATCCACAAACTTAATAATCAGGCCAGCTACATTCTCCTCCAAATCATTTACATACTACAAAACAACAGGGGTTCCAGCACAGATCTGTGCAGAACACCACCGGTCACAGATCTCCAGTCAGAGAAATTCCTTTCCACTGCTACTTTGTCTTCTATGACTATGCCACTTCTTATCCACCTCACCAGAGTCAGCCTGAGGAGCTGAATGGTCTACTTTTCCTCCTAACTGGTATTTTCTGAAACTAAGACCCCAATTTTAAGTCTGAATAGATGGAGAAGAGATTTTGAAACCCAAATACTGCTGCAGTAAAAAAAAAACTGTCCTAGCTATTTTAACTCTTGGGACTTAACAACATGCTATTGGTACACTTTCCTCTGTTCCATGGGGTGGACTGGGGCAGGGGATTAGCTTCCTTTGTAGGATCCAGTGGAGCACTTATCACTCATGTTACTTCTGGCCCAAAAAGTGGAAAGAAAAGTGCCTACTGCAGATGCCAGAGATCTGAAATAAACACAAGTAGTGCTGGAGAAACTCAGTATGTCTGGCAGCATCTGCGGAGACGGAAAATAAGTTAACGTATTGAGTCCAATGTGGCTCTTCTTTGGAAAACATTTACCTACTTGGCCTCATTGGAGATTACCATTTGTTGACCTGATCAAGTTTGGTGGCAGAGCAGCAGCAACTTCTTCACTCAATGTGCAGCTAAGATTGCCGTTGTGCACTTACAGGTCCCATGCAGGATGAGCTTGAACATCTTTGGCAGGTACATTTTATGCTTGTTCAGGGGAACAAGTTTAAAATTTTAAACACTTGGATTCTGCTGGTGTTCAGGCCAGGCAGTAATCAGGGTGATTGTAACTGCCCACTTGCCCCAATTTGGATGGAACTGAAGTTATATCCACCTCCGTGTGTATCAACAGGAAAGATCAAACGTTAAAAAAATGCTGGCAGCAGATATTTTCTAAACAAGGTATTATTAGACTGATCAACATCAAGTAGATGTAAAGTATTTGTTCAGAAATCAACTAGCTATCCTTTGCTACCAAGGAAAATGCAACAACTGCTGGAGATGCTACTGATAGTTTTACCTTCACTCGATTCTTGGATTCTTGTTCCCACCATTCATCAGAGCTGCTGGAAGTGGACTGTGATACCTTGAAAACATCTTGCGGGACAGTCCAGACACAAACCAAACCATTCTGACATCCACTAGCAAGAGATAACACCACATTTTATTGCAAATATGACACTATCAAACTCTCTTCAAGGCTTTTAAAGCTCAATAAAGACTTTACTAATCTGTAAACATATTCAAGTTGATCAGGCTAGCAGCTGGTTGTAGTTTGCAGCTTCTGATGTTCCTATTATATTAAATATATATGTGGATGATTATTAACAAGGCCATAAGCAAAAAGTAAAGGAATTCTTTGAAGGAGATGGTGACAAGTGTTGAGTGTTGTTCTACCTTTTTGATGAGTCACCAAATTGGCCCAGTGACAAAAGAAAATGTCAGCAGAAAAACTGATCAGAGTTCACGTCAAAAATGTGTCTGCAACACTACTGACCCATATGGACAATTCATGGATATAGAGAAGATGCTAATCAGACTGGCAAATTAGTTTAGTGACAGTATACTAGCAGGTCCTTCTGTCAATATATCCAAACCTCACTGGTTGTTAGATTATCCAAACAGCTGTCATGGCTCACTAGCAAGAGTGCAACAATGATTGAGTCCCATTATTCCAAAAACCATTACAAATCTGTAACTACTCAATTAAGTCATCAAAACGATTAATGTGCCTGAATGACTACAATTCAAGAATAAAAGTAATTCACAGCAGGCTTTGTTATTACCAAGAAAATAATTATTAATTGTGAATAAACATAGAATCATAAAGTACAGAAGAGGTCTTTGGCCTTTTGAGTCTATACCTCCAAAAATACACAAAATCTACACTAGCTCCACTTTCCTGCACAGGCCTATATCCTTGAATGTTATGACACTTCAACTGCTCATCAAGTATTTGAAAATTATGAGGTTACTCATCCCAACTATCCTCCCATGCAGTGCATTCCAGACCCTACAACTCATTGGGTGAAGATTTTTATTCCCCTCAAGTAACCTCTCAACACCCTGCCTCTCACCTTAACATTAACAAAGGGAACAGCTGTTTTCTATCCAACCTGTCCACGCCCCTCAATCTCATAAACCCCGATGAGACGTCCCCTCGACCTTTTCAATTCTAAAGAAAACAACCCAAGCTGAGCCAGCTCTCTTAATAACTAAAATGCCCTATCCCAGGCAATGTCCTAGTGAGTGTCCTCTGCACCTCCTCCAATGCAATCATATCCTTCCTATAGAGGTGACCAGAACTGCACATGGTGCACAGCTGTGTAGCTCCAACAAAATCTCCCTGCTCTACTAATATATGTTATGACTGATAAAGGCAAGTGCCTTGAATGCCTTAACTACCTTAATTAACCTGCCCTGATTCCTTCAAATATCTGTGGACAAGCATCCCAAGATCCCTCTCCTCCTCGGAGATTCCTAACGTCTTGCCATTCATTGAGTCTTATTCTTTCTTCCAAAATGCATCACCTCACACTCATTGACATTAAGATCCATCTGTCATTAGTACACACTACTACTACTAAGCGTTGGTTGTGGAGGGAGTGGATGCTCGTGGATGTAGTGCCAATCAAGCAGGCTGCTTTGTCTTGAATGGTGTCAAGCTTCTTTGAAAGTTGTTGGGGCTGCACTCATCTAGGCAAGTGGGGAGTATTCTATCACACTCCTGACTTGTGCCTTGTAGATGGCAGACAGGCTTTGAGGAGTCAGGAAGGGCGTTACTCGCCGCAGTATTCCTAGCATCCGACCTTTTTTTGTATGTGTGTTCGTGGTGAGTCGAGCTGAGTTTCTGGTCAATGATAACCTTCAGAATGTTTATAGCGGGGGATTCAGTGTTAGTAATGCCATTGAATGTCAAGGGGTGGTGGTTAGATTGTCTCTAATTGGCAATGGTCATAGCCTGGCATTTGTGTGGCATGAATGTCACTTGCCACTTGGTAACCCAAGCCTGGATATTGTCCAGAACTTGTTGCATTTGAACATGGACTGCTTCAGTATCTGAGTCGTCGGAAATGGTGCTGAACATTGTGCATCATCAGCGAACATCCCCACTTCAAATCTTATGATGGAGGGAAGGTCATTGATGAAGCAGCTGAAAATGGTTAAAGTCTACGGCATTACCCTGAGGAACTCCTGCAGAGATGTCGTGAAGCTGAATTGACTGACCTCCAACAACCAGGACCATCTTCCTATGTGTCAGGTAAGACTTGATATTTCATGGGTAGGCAATGGCCGAGTGGCATTATCGCGAGAGTATTAATCCAGAAACTCAGCTAATGTTCTGGGGACTCTTTTTTTTTTAAAGGAAAAATTAAATCCAGATTAAAAAAAAGACATGGAATTAAGAATCTACTGATCACCATCAAATCATGGTCACATGTCAGAAAAACCCATCTGGCTCACTAATGTCCTTCAGGGAAGGAAATCTCCCATCCTCACCTGGTCTGGCCTACACGTGGCTCCAGACCCACAACCATGTGGTTGACTCTCAATTACCCTCTGAAACAGCTTAGGAAACCAGTCAGTTGTACTGTCATAACAAGGTGTACAGCTGCATGAACACAGCAGGCCAAGCAGCATCAGAGGAGCAGGAAGGCTGACGTTTCGGGCCTCGACCCTTCTTCGGAAATGGGGGAGGGGAAGGGGGTTCTGAAATAAATAGGGAGAGAGGGGGAGGCGATGGGGAGAAGATGGATAGAGGAGAAGATAGGTGGAGAGGAGACAGACGGGTCAAAGAGGCTGGGATGGAGCCAGTAAAGGTGAGTGCAGGTGGGGAGGTAGGGAGGAGATAGGTCAGTCCAGGGAGGACGGACAGGTCAAGGGGGCAGGATGAGGTTAGTCGGTAGGAGATGGGGGTGGGGCTTGAGGTGGGAGGAGGGGATAGGTGGGAGGAAGGACAGGTTAGTGAGGCGGGGACGAGCTGGGCTGGTTTTGGGATGCGGTAGGGGGAGGGGAGATTTTGAAGCTTGTGAAGTCCACATTGATACCATCAGGCTGCAGGGTTCCCAAGCGGAATATGAGTTGCTGTTCCTGCAACCTT